CACACACCTTTGATCCCAGCACTTGGGAGGCAGAGGCAGGCAAACTCTTTGAGTTTGAGGCCATTATGGTCTACAGAGATAGTTCCAAGACAGAGAGATGTTGCATAGAGAACCCTGAGACAATCTCTTCCCCCCCCAAAAGTATTATCTCTTTTTAAAACGACAACCAACTTTTTCACAGATTTGAAATGAAAACTTCTTTTGACTGGATTTGGTTCTTCTGAAAGTTGCAAGGCAGTTATCTTAGTTTCTTTTGAATATCTGTGACAAATCACGACTATATAAAGCATCTTCTTAAAGGAAGTGTTCTATTGAAGATACAGAACTTTCCAGTCAGTGATGGTGGGGTGAAGACATGGTGGCAGGAACAGCAAAGGACTCACATGATAATCTATAATCAGGAGACAGAGAGAATACACTAGGGGGATCTGTGTTTTTTTTTTTTTGAATTTTTAAGCTTGCCTAGAGTGACAGATATTCACCACAGGCCATACCTGCTAATCATCCTCAAACCATTCCACCAATTCAAACCAAGTTTCAAATAGCCTATGGGACCATTTCCAAGTGGACCATGACTACAGTTGTTTTCAAAGTCACTGCCCTAGCCCTAGTTGCAACAAATAAGTAAAAATAGAAGAAAAATCATGATCATTGCACATACCAAAAGGGGTTTACATCTTTAATACACTAAAATATTGAGATAAAATTACACTTCTCCAAATTTTTCCACATTAAAATATCGTACTTGTTCATTAAGTCTACTCTTCTGATCATATTCTAGTCTACTCATTGGTATTCCTGTGTGTGTATTCATTTTAAAATGTGCAAGGGATTATCCTAAGACTGCTTTCAGGAATAGGTTCTCTATTGCCACCATGTAAGATCCAGTCAGGCAATGGAGATAATCATGGTTTCTGGCAATAAACCATTGCTAGCTGATGCATCTCATTGTACAATCACATTCTTCTTTCATGCCTCACAAAAGAAGTAATTTAACCAATGCACTGTCACACAGATAATACTGGTAAGAGTTCCACACACTGTAGTTTTCACTGTGAGATCATTATGGATTTAAGTAAAATAAGAAATGCAGAGATTTGGAAACACAATGCTAAAATTGACAGTTTAAATTTTATTCATTCTAAACACTTTGAATATTTTCCCACATTTATTCCAAACACAAAGGCTTTCACCAGTGGGGAAAATTGAGTATAATGGTACCTATAGCTGCTAAAGGATTTGTCACATAGTTACACATGTAAGGACTCTCTCTGGGGTGAATTCTTGAGACCATCATGGCAGCAGCAACTGGGAAAGGATTTTGAACAACACTTAAATGCATGCATGCACTGGGCTTCTTGTCAGTGCAAATTCTTACATGAGGGTTACAGAAACTGGAAGTGGTCAAGGCTTTCCACCATGCTGAAACTGATAAGACTTCTCACCAGTGTGAGATCTATTATGCTTGGTAAAATGGCAAGAACAAAGAAACAGATTCCTAAATGTCTGCAAAGGGTTTCTCTCCATTGCGAATGTTTTAATTACTCTAGAGACAAGTATAACTAGTGAAGGCTTTCCCACAATGCTACCAAGCACTAGCCTACTGACTACTGTCAACTGTTTCATGTCTGTTATGATCAGCAGAGCAGGTAAAGGTTTTCCAAATGCTTCCATGCATAAGGCCTGCCTTTTGAGTGAACTGTTTCATGCCTGTTAAGGTTACTAGACTGAATGAACAGTTTCCCACATTTTATATACAAAGGGTTTCTCTCCATTGGGATTTTTTTCATGCAAGTTAGGACAAGTATAAATGTTGAAGATTTTTCCACAACGATGACATGGATAAGGCTTTTCTCAAGTATGCTTTATTTAATGTCTGTTACAATCACAGGAGTCCCTGAGAGCTTTGCCACAATGCTTACAAGCATAAGGCTTTTCTCCAGTGTGACTCCATTTATGTTTGTTATGATTACTGGAGGCACTGAAAGCTTTGCCACAGTACTTGCATGCATAAGGCTTTTCTCCAGTATGAATTCTTCCATGAGTGATCAAATGACCGTAGCATGTGAATTCTTTTCCACAGTGCTTACAATCATAGAGCTTCTCTCCAGTGTGAAGACTTTCATGTCTCTCAAGAGTCTTAGAGTCCAGCCTACTCCAGTTCTCACTTAGGGCAGAGGGCAAAGGTGAGCTCTAGGCCCCCATCCTGGTCCCAACTTCCTTCTGCTCTCTCTCTCCAGGATCTCCTGGACTGGGGACTGCAGCAAGCTCCACTGTCCCCCAGATGACCAAGTGATCAGGAGCATGCTGAGAGAGTCAGTCTACTCCCATGCCCACTTAGGGCAGAAGGCAGAGTGCAGAGGGCAGAGCTCCCACCCACGGGGAGAAGGAATGCCTCAGACATATCTGCACCCACTGTGATACCCTTCAGTGAATTGGACCTGCTTGCACCCACTGGAAGAGAACCTTGGAACCTTACACACCAGGAAAGGAAGAGACCCAACCTATACCCACTGAAAGAAGGGATGGGAAGACAACAATACAAGACCAAATTCAATGACAGAAAAACCAATATTATGTCACCAGAGTCTAGAGACTGGACACCAGTAGGTTCTGAACATCACAACACAGATGAAACAGAAAAGAACAACCTTAAAACCAACTTCATGAAAATGATAGAGATCCTAAAAGAAGAAATAAGAAAATACTTTAAAGAAATGGAAGAAAAGACAAACCAAAAATTACAAGAAACAATTCAAACAGTGCAAGGTTTGAAATATGAAATAGAGACAATAAAAACACAGTCTGAATTAGAAAAGGTGAGTAAATAATCAGGAACTACAGATGCAAGCATAACCAACAGAATACAGGCATTAGAAGAGAGAATTTCAGGCGTTGAAGATTCACTAGGAGAAATAGATTCATCAACCAAAGAAAATCTTAAGTCCAACAAATTCCTAACACAAAATATCCAGGAAATATGGGACACGGTGAAAAGGCCAAATCTAAGAATAATAGGTATAGAAGAAGGTGAAGAAACTCAGCTCAAAGGTGAAGAAAACATATTCAACAAAATCATAGTAGAAAACTTTCCCAACCTAAAGAAAGACATGCCAATGAAAATACAAGAAGCCTACAGAACACCAAAAAGAGTGGACCACAAAAGGAAGTTCCCTCACCACATAATAGTAAAAACCCCAAATATACAGAATAAAGAAAGAATATTAAGAGCAGCAAAGGAAAAAAGCCAAGTAACATATAAAGGCAAACTTATCAGAATCATACCTGACTTCTCCATGGAAACTCTGAAAGCCAGAAGGTCCTGAATATATATTCTACCAACACTAAGAGACCATGGATGCCAACCAAGACTAGGATACCCAGCAAATGTTTCAGTCACTATAGATGGAGTAAACAAGATATTCCATGACAACACCAGATTTAAACAATACATATCCATTAATCCAGCCCTACAGAAAGTACTGGAAAGAAAACTTCAACCTAAGGAAGGTAACTATACTCACAAAAACATAGGCAATAGATAATCCAAATTTACCTAAAGCCAAAAGAAAAAGCGGGGTAAATCCACAAAAAGTAACACCATCACCAACAAAACAAAAATAAACAAGAATTATCACTCCATGGTCCTTAATCTCCCTCAATACTAATGGTCTTAGGTTGCCTATAAAAAGACACAGGCTAACAGAATGGATATGAAGACATAATCCATCCTTCTGCTGCATACAAGAACACACCTCAACTGCAAAAACAGACATTACCTCAGAGTAAAGGGTTGGAATAAGATTTTCCAATCAAATGGATCCAACAAACAAACTGCTATAAGTATCCTAGTATCTAACAAATTAGACTTCAAACTAGAATCAATCAAAAGAGATGAAGGTCATTTCATATTCATCACAGAAAATCCATCAGGATGAAGTCTTAATTCTGAACATCTATGCCCCAAATACAAAGGCACCCACATTCATAAAAAAGACATTACTAAAACTCAAACCACACATAAAACCTCACACACTTATAAGTGGGAGACTTCAACATCCCACTCTCACCAGTAGACAGGACCACCAGACAGAAAAATTAACAAAGAAACAAAGGAACTAACAGAAGTTATGACCCAACTGGGTTTAACAGACATCTATAGAACATTCCATCCAAACACAAAATAATATACCTTCTTCTCAGTGCCACATGGAACCTTCTCTAAAATCGACCACATACTTGATAACATAGCAAACCTCAACAAGTACAAAAAAATTGAAATGACACCCTATATCTTGCCAGACCACCATACTTTAACGTTAGAATTCAACAACAACACAAATTGCAGAAACCCTATAAACTCATGGAAATTGAACAACACACATTTGGACTTTTCCTGGGTCAAGGAAGAAATAAAGAAAGAAATTAAAGACTTCCAAGAATTCAATGAAAATGAAGATACAACATACGCAAACTTATGGGACACTTTGAAAGCAGTACTAAGAGGAAAGCTCATAGCACTAATTGCTCATATGAAGAAACTGGAGAATAGACACACTAGAGAATTAACAGCACAACTGAAAGCTCTAGAACAAAAGGAAGCAAACTCACCCTGGAGGAGTAGATGCCAGGAAATAATCAAATTGAGGGCTGAAATCAATAAAGTCAAAACAAAGAAAACAATACAAAGAATCAATGAAACAGTGGTTTTTTCCAGAAAAGCAACAAGATAGATAAACCTTTATCCAAATTAACCAAAAGGCAGAAAAAGAACATGCAAGTTAACAAAATCAGGAACGAAAAGGTGGATATAACAATGGAAATTGAGGAAATCCAGAGAATCCTCAGGTCATACATTGAAAACCTGTATTCCGCTGGGCGGTGGTGGCGCACGCCTTTAATCCCAGCACTCGGGAGGCAGAGGCAGAGGTAGATCTCTGTGAGTTCGAGGCCGGGCTGGACCGATAGCCCCCAAACAATACAGAGAAACCCTGTCTCCTCGGCCCAGGGCCGGTGCCTGGGGCCTCGGGGGCGGCCCTGACCGTCCTCCTCGTCGCCCGGGCCGGGTCACAGTTGTGCCCCCGGCGGCGCTCGGCCACCTCTGCGTCTCCGCGCTCGCTGGGTCGCGCTGCTGCCTGGGCGCGGCGGCGGCGGCGGCGCCCTGTTGAATGGGCTGTGAGGGCCCGGGTCTGAAGTGCTGGCGGACGCGGCCTCCGGGGGCGCAAGGCAGCAGCAGCGGTGGCGACCAAACGGGTGTTGGAGTTGGCGGCGGCCATGGAGGGCCTGGCTGGCTCCGTGTACAAGGCGGCCAGCGAGGGCAAGGTGCTCACACTGGCTGCCTTGCTCCTTAACCGGTCGGAAAGCGATATCCGCTACCTGCTGGGCTATGTCAGTCACCCCTCATCATCGCAGCCCGCAATGGGCACGCCAAGGTGGTGCGCTTGCTGTTAGAACACTACCGTGTGCAGACCCAGCAGACTGGCACTGTCCGCTTCGACGGGTATGTCATTGATGGTGCCACTGCTCTTTGGTGTGCTGCAGGAGCTGGACATTTTGAGGTTGTTAAACTACTTGTTAGTCATGGAGCCAATGTGAACCACACCACAGTCACTAACTCAACCCCATTGCGGGCAGCATGCTTTGATGGCAGACTGGACATTGTGAAATATTTGGTCGAAAATAATGCCAATATCAGCATTGCCAGCAAGTATGACAACACCTGCCTAATGATCGCAGCATATAAGGGGCACACTGATGTGGTCAGATACCTTTTAGAGCAGCGCGCTGATCCCAGTGCTAAAGCACACTGTGGAACCACAGCATTGCACTTTGCAGCCAAGGCTGGTCACATTGACATTGTGAAAGAGCTGATAAAATGGCGAGCTGCGATAGTGGTGAACGGCCATGGGATGACACCGTTGAAAGTAGCTGCTGAAAGCTGTAAAGCTGATGTTGTTGTGAAAGACCCCTGTACCTGGGATACTTTCAATCTGAGAGACCCCCCCAAGGATCAGCGAGGCCACACGTATGGATGCAATCAGCAAGAGGTTTTATTGATCACACATACGGGTACCCGGGCGTCTTGGTCTCGGGAACCAAGCGCGCCCAGATGGGGAACGGGGATGCTTTATATAGCGAAAAGCAGAAGCGGATGCATGGTCACAGGATTTCCATTGGTCAATTTTAATGAGGCGAGAGGTTAGACTGGGGCCACCTGGCTTGAATACAAGGAAGTCGCAGGTGGCTGACTTAGCTTTCATCTCGGACACATTGTGGATGGGAAACTCCCCAGTTTTAACTCCCCAGTTTCGGATGGCCGACCACTAATATCCTGTTTGTCAAGCCCTCGAGGCGCCAGGGGCCCTCGACCTTAGCGTGAACTCAGACAGTTCCTGGTGGGCTATGTCGGGAGGGGGTCTTTCAGTTGAACTCTTGCTCTCTCATGCCGATTGTGACCGCAGAAGTCGGATTGAAGCCTTGGAGCTTTTGGGTGCCTCCTTTGCAAATGACCGTGAGAACTATGACATCATGAAGACATACCACTATTTATATTTAGCCATGTTGGAGAGGTTTCAAGATGGTGACAACATTCTTGAAAAAGAGGTTCTCCCACCCATCCATGCATATGGGAACAGAACTGAGTAGTGTAGGAACCCCCAGGAACTGGAATCCATTCGGCAAGACAGAGATGCTCTTCACATGGAGGGCCTTATAGTAAGGGAACGGATTTTAGGTGCTGACAACATTGATGTTTCCCACCCTATCATTTACAGAGGGGCTGTCTATGCTGATAACATGGAGTTCGAGCAGCGCATCAAGTTGTGGCTTCACGCACTGCACCTCAGGCAGAAAGGTAATAGAAACACCCACAAGGATCTGCTTCGATTTGCTCAAGTCTTCTCACAGATGATACACCTCAATGAAGCTGTGAAGGCCCCAGACATAGAATGTGTTCTGAGATGCAGTGTTTTGGAAATAGAGCAGAGCATGAACAGAGTTAAAAATATCTCCGATGCTGATGTCCATAGTGCCATGGACAACTACGAGTGTAACCTCTATACTTTTCTGTACCTGGTGTGCATCTCCACCAAGACACAGTGTAGCAAAGAAGACCAGTGCAGAATTAACAAGCAGATCTACAACCTGATTCACCTGGACCCCAGAACGCGGGAAGGTTTCACCTTGCTACACTTGGCTGTCAACTCAAACACACCAGTTGATGATTTCCACACCAATGACATCTGCAGCTTTCCCAACGCACTGGTCACGAAGCTCCTGCTGGACTGTGGTGCTGAGGTGAATGCCGTGGACAATGAAGGGAACAGTGCCCTCCACATTATCGTCCAGTACAACAGGCCCATCAGTGACTTTCTGACCTTGCACTCCATCATCATCAGCCTTGTGGAGGCCGGCGCACACACTGACATGACAAACAAGCAGAATAAGACTCCACTAGACAAAAGTATGACTGGGGTGTCTGAGATACTACTCAAAACTCAGATGAAGATGAGCCTCAAGTGCCTGGCTGCCCGAGCAGTTCGGGCTAATGACATTAACTACCAAGACCAGATCCCCCGGACTCTTGAAGAGTTTGTTGGATTTCATTAAGTGACTGGATGTGTAAAATCGTTGAATGTGGTGCTAAAAAGTAAAGGACTTTAATCACAGACAATAGAAGTATGTGTTCATAAATTGTCCTTTCCTTTCCACTGCCCTTTCAGCCCCTCCGTCCTTGGTTCCGTTTGGCTCTGGTCTCATGTATTGATTTCAGCACACTAAACAGAAGCAGCACTGTTGAGGTGTAACTGGAAGGTGTTGGGACATTTCTTTGTTTCTTTTTTTTAAAGGGAAGAATGTAAGATATTTTGTGTAATGGGGGCATTTGTGATTTAAAATTGATGTTCTAAACAGCTGCCTACAAAAGTATTTCTGTTAAGCTGGTGTCAGCATGTCATCTGTGCAGCAGTTTTGAGGATTTCATGAAGAAAATGAACTAAAAAGGAAGACTGAGAGCAATGGGAGATGCTCGTGCCCTGCGTGGATGGTTCTCACTCTCACTGTGCGTGCAGAGTGGTACAGCACATTTTACACCAGGAGGACTCAAAACACTTAGCTACTGATTAATAATCTGGAAATTATGTGCAGTTATTGATGGAAAGTTGAATTCATGGAAATAATTGCATTATGCTGGGTAGTGTCTTCTAACTGGCAATCTTAGCTCAACCTTGTGGACATTGCTAGACTCTACCCTTAGGCTTGAGTTCTTCCGGTCTCTGTTTTAATGATGGATCTAAATTGCAGTCATGCATTTGATTGTTTTGCTCACAGATCTAAATAAGGAGTACACTGTATTATGAATCTTTGTCATAGTATAGCTAGATATTCTGTCCCCTTTTAGCCCTTTCCTCTTGTGTTGTATCTTTAAAATCTGCCTTTCCAGAGGGCATTTATTTCTGTCTCCCTGTTAGGTGTAAGATGAACGAGGACACACTTCTGTCGTTTTTTAACTTAGTCCATTGTGAGATGTAGGACACCCAGGAGTAGGGTATAGGAAATGAAGTATTTGATGAGGAAAATGATTCTCTGTCACATGGAAGGTATGTCTCAGAGCTGCAGACTTTTCTACCACAGAATGTGGTACTGAGGTCTTCGCTTTTTGCTTTCTTTTATCAGCAACATTTCAGTTCTCAAGTATTCTGCGATTTTTCTCTTAAGCATCACAGAAATTCAAGTTAAGGAATACTTGCTTCTACTGATGCTGGGAATGAAAATGAAAGTAAAACTAGTTGTTCCTGTAATTTTTCTCTAGTGCCAAATGACTGCCCGAGCTACCCTAGTGCATGGTACCGTAAGTGAAGACCCGCAGCTACTTGTTTTCTTTAGTGAAAAGCATTGTCATGATGCAACATCAGATATAAGCTTTAAACAACCTGTAAGATTTCACATTTTACCTGTGGATATTGCATTTTAAAATGTATGAGAAAGGTTGCAGTTGGAGCAGTATAAAAAAAACGACCAAGCCAAAATCAGCACCTAGGGCCTTAACAGAGATATCCCACAAAATGAAATACCTGGGAGGGAGGGCGGGAGAGACTTGAAACTTCCTGCTCCAAGGGTGTGAGACACAGTTGCTGTACTTGTGCTTTGTGTGTGTTCTTGCTTCAGTTAGGAGTGTCTGATGGTGAATTCTTTCATGGTAATAGATTTCTATTTTCCTAACTTGAGAGTTTACAAGGAATGATGACTTAAAGGGAGGTGTTGGAATGACCCCAATTTGGGAACTTCTGACCTTGGCCTTCCTGACATGACTCAATGACTCATGTCTCACCTTGCTCTGGCAGCTCTCAGTGGCCTGGAAGAGATGACACACTGCACAGGTGAGTCAGTCCTGCCTCTGCCCAGGTTCAGGTCAGGTTTTCCCTTTTTGGACTCTAAGGCCCAATATGGACAGTGAGGAATAGCTGTGACACAGTATTCAGTTGGTTCCGTTTTTTACTGTATGTGGTTTTTAAACATTCAAACTTAAAGTATCAGATAATGTTGCATGTTTTAAAAACATTTTTCCCCTTCACTTCCCAGGACCAACACTGTTCTAGACATTATTTATATATGAGGATAATGATAATATGTGCATATTCAGAGATAGAATTTGAGGACAGCTTTGAAGCAGGGAGGACAGTGCTGGAGAAGGTGGAGCAAACTGAACATGCTGGTGGTAAACTGGCTAGATTTGTCTAAACTATAGTTGCACATTGTGCACTCCAGCTGAGGATCTAATTCTGTGTCTAATGTCACTCCAGATTTGCTTTGGGGAACACCTGTGTAAAACCATCATTGGAAGAAGTCATCTTCATGCCTGGTTTTTCCATTATTTTGGTAAAATTCTTTAAAAATAAGCTCAGCCAAATGTTCCATAAACTTCTGTTTTTAAAGAAAAATAAACAGGCGTGGAAGGTGAAAAAAAAAGAAAACCTGTACTTCACAAAATTTGGAAATTTAAAGGAAGTGGACAACTTTCAGGATAGATGTTACTTGCCAAAACTAAATCAAGAACAGATAAAAAATCTAAGCAGACCTATAACCCTTAATGAAATAGAAGCAGTCATCAACCAAAAAAGCCCAGGGCCAGATGGCTTCAGTGCAGAATTCTACCAGAAATGCAAAGAAGAGCTAATTCCGATACTCCTCAAAGTGTTCCACACAATAGAAGCAGGAGGTTCGCTGCCAAACTCTTTTTACAAGGCTACAATTACCTTCGTACTCAAGCCACACAAAGACACAACTAAGAAAGAGAACTATAGACCAATTTCCCTCATGAACATCGATGTAAAAATACTCAATAAAATACTAGCAAACCAGATTCAAGAACACATCAGAAAAATCATCCACCATGATCAAGTAGGTTTCATCCCAGGAATGCAGGGATGGTTCAACATTAGAAAATCTATCATTGTAATCTACCATATAAACAAACTGAGAAAGAAAAACCACATGATCATGTCACTAGATGCTGAATAAGCCTTTGACAAAATCCAGCACCCCTTCATGATAAAGGTCCTAGAGAGATCAGGGATAATAGGAACATACTTGAATATAATAAAAGCAATATACAGTAAACCAACAGCTAACATCAAACTAAATGGATAGAAACTCAACGCAATTCATCTAAAAGCAGGAACAAGACAAGGCTGTCCACTCTCTCCATAGCTCATCAATATTGTACTTGAAGTTCTAGCTACAGCAATAAGGCAACAAAAGGAGATCAAGGGGATACAAATAGGAAAAGAAGAAGTCAAGCTTTCACTATTTGCAGATGATATGATAGTTTACATAAGTGACCCGAAAACCTCCGCAAGGGAACTCCTAGAGCTGATAAACACCTTCAGCAAAGTGGCAGGATACAAGGTTAACTAAAAAAATCAGTGGCCCTATTATATACAGATGATGAAGTGGCGGAGAAAGAAATCAGAGAAACATCACCCTTTACAATAGCCATAAACAACATCAAATATCTGGGGATAATGTTAACCAAGGAAGTGAAAGACCTGTATATCACGAACTTTGAGTCTTTAAAGAAAGAAATCAAAGAGGACACCAGAAAATGGAAATATCACCCGTGCTCTTGGATTGGTAGGGTCAACATAATAACAATGTCAATCTTGCCAAAAGCAGTCTAAAGATTCAATGCAATCCCTATCAAAATTCCGGCACAATTCTTCAAGGACCTGGAAAGAACATTAATCAACTTTATATGGACAAACAAAAGGACCAGGATAGCCAAAACAACCCTATACAATAAAGGAACTTCAGGAGGCATCACCATGCCTGACTTCAAACTCTATTATAGAGCTATAGTCCTGAAAACAGCTTGGTATTGGCACAAAACTAGACAGGTAGACCAATGGAACCAAATTGAAGACCCTAATTTTAACCCACACACCTATGAACACTTGATTTTTGACAAAGAAGCTAAAACTATACAATGGAAAAAAGAAAGCATCTTCAACAAATGGTGCTGGCATAACTGGGTACTGGTATGCAGAAGACTGCAGATAGATCCATGTTTATTGCCTTGTACAAAACTTAAGTCCAAATGGATCAAAGATCTCAACATAAATCCAGCAACACTGAAACTTTTAGAAGAGAAAGTGGGAGATACTCTTCAACAAGTTGCTACAGGAGACCACTTCCTGAACATAACACCAGTGGCACAGACACTGAGATCGACAATTAACAAATGGGACCTCCTGAAACTAAAAAGCTTCTGTAAGGCAAAGGACACAGTCCACAAGACAAAAAGGCAGTCCACAGAATGGGAAAATATATTCACTGACCCCACATCTGACAGAGGGCTAACCTCCAAAATTTACAAAGAATTTAAGAAGTGAAAGACCTCGGCATCAAAGTGCCAGGCACTGAACCGAACCCTCTGCCCAAGAACTGGGGCCAGACCACTGGCTGCAAATGCAAGAGGTGATTTACTGAGTACACAGGCGCCTGCAGATGCTACTGCAACTCAGGTGCAGAGCATACCGGGCTTGCAGGAAGCACAATATTTATAGAGTTTTAATGGTTACATAAGTATCAGCATAGTAACAGGCATTTCATTGGCTCATCTTGGGGGCAGGGGTAGTTCCCATGGACTAAGTTTCCTGGTATTACCTCATGAAAGACCCCGGCACGCTTCAGCAATTATTATCCGGGTCCCATGACTACTATGGTGATCATAGACACAACTGGGGGCAGGGGTAGTTGCCAAGCACTAGGTGTCCTGGTATTGCCACATAAAAGACCCTGGCATGCTTCAGCAATTATTATCCGGGTCCGATGACTGCTCTGGTGACCACAGATCCTGTTTGACATCCTGCCAGCTGGGCGAGGCACCTGGTCTGGGTTTTTTTTCATTAGGCAACGGCCTGACCTTGCTCTTCTTTTCCTAGGGGGGTCCTGGGTAGGAGTCTTTCAGAAGCAAGTCTCCAAAACACCAAAGGATACAATTAAAAGGTGGGGTACAGAACTAAATACAGAATTCTCAATAGAGGAGACTAAAAGGGCCAAGAGACACTTAAGAAAGTGCTCAACATCCTTAGCCATCAGGGAAATGCAAATCAAAACAACTTTGAGATACCATCTTACTCCTGTCAGAATGGCTAGAATAAAAAACACCAAAGACAATTTATGCTGGAGAGGATGGGGAGAGATGGGAACACTCCTCCACTGCTGGTGGGAGTGCCAACTCCTACAGCCACTTTGGAAATCAGTATGGAGATTCTTCAGGAAAATGGGAATTGATCTACCACAAGACCCAGCAATTCCACTCTTAGGCATAT